TTCAAAGAGATCTACTTCTTGCTCAGAGTATCAGTGTTCGTGAAACAAGGACATCTCACTTCTGGCTCCAGAATTTGCCAAAGTAAAGGGAGCTCATCAGTAATTGTTTCTTGAATTTACAGAGGACCTTTCTCCAATGAGCTTCAATGGCTTTTAGTCAGTGAAAATACTAAATTTTCTCTCACGACATCCCTGCAAAGGAAGTAGAAGATGGAGAACTGAGGTGAACTTCACTTGCCAGAAGTTCCTCTAACAGCAGAATATAAAGACTGTAGCAGCTTTCTCTTTATTTCAGCCCTCTAATATCACTAAGGGGTGACAAATGTGGCACCCATGCTGTCACTCACCCTGTGTATGCCCATGAGCCATTACTGAAAACATGGCGCTCTTTCCCACTGAACCCAGACTCAACTGCAGAATCCTTCTCAACACAATGCTCTAAGCAGCTACTACCAATAGATAGGTGAATGCATGGGGAAAGGACATACAAGGACACTCATGCGAGGACAAAACCCAGCAGAACAGAATGGGATAAGAATTTAATGCCTGGGACTTCCCTGGTGGTGCAGTGGATAAGACTCTGCACCCCCAATGCAGGGGGTCCGGGTTCAATCCCTGGTCAGGGAACTAGATCCCACATGCATTCTGCAACTAAGAGTTTGTATGTCACAACTAAGGAGCCCACGTGCCGCAACTAAGGAGCCAGTGAGCCACATCTAAGGAGTCCACGTGCCACAGCTAAGGAGATGCAAGCTGCAACTAAGATCTCACACAACAAAATAAACAAACAAACAAACAAATAAATAAACGAATTTAACACTTTTTCCACTTGCTTTAGGTACAGGTTATGTCCTATGTTCAAGATATCAAATGTAGCTCATATATTAAACATTCTGTTACATTCTTCCCTAAAAGTACTTTGTTAATATGTATAAAATAAGATACATTCATAGGGCTTCCCTATGTAAAAAAAGTATACATTCATAGGGCTTCCCTGGTGGCGCAGTGGTTGAGAGTCCAGTCTGCCGATGCAGGGGACACGGGTTCGTGCCCCGGTCTGGGAAGATCCCACGTGCCGCAGAGCGGCTGGGCCCGTGAGCGACGGCTGCTGAGCCTGCGCGTCCAGAGCCTGTGCTCCGCAACGGGAGAGGCCACAACAGTGAGAGGCCCGCGTACCGCAAAAAAAAAAAAAAAAGTATACATTCATATATACACTGTATAGTTTTGTGGACCTTTGTACAACACTAACAAGGTATGGGTAGGTACACGTATGATGCCTGCCAAAGTTTCTGGGGGCAAAAAGTAGACCTACTCACTATGAAAATTTAGGTTTTCCACATATAGGAATGAAATTCAAATTAATGTTAACTATAATAATAAAAATAAACGTTAATATTAACTCAGCACCTACTATGAGTCTGACCCTACATTAAATGCTTTAATTCTAATCCTCACAATAATTGTATGAGAAAAGAACTATTATTATTCCAATTTTATTGATGAGAAAACTGAGGCTTAGAGAGTTTAAGGTTACAGAATTATTGAGTGGAAGCAAGGTTGGAGAGTTCAAGCTCTAATCACTAGGCATACCTTCCTCCTAAAATTATCTTGATAAAATTATATTTAAAGGCTGTTTCCACATTGACAAAATGAGGCATAGTATATTTAAAATTTCAAAAGCCCTAGTATTTAAGTTAAAAGATGACAGCACCCTTCTCCTTGGGTTTTCAAGGCTGTAAGTTGTAAACTTTGTCTTAGGTTCAATTTGTAGCAATGAAAAACACAGATCACACTTAACACCCAGGTCTTATCATTTTTTCCATTAAGGAAGCAAGCTCTTCTAACACAGATATTTGGAAAGGGGAGTACCCACACATAAATGAGGGCTTCTAGAGATTTACATGAGGAGGCTCTGGAATAGGAAAAACAAGTTCAAGTTCAGTTCAAGAAACAAGGAAAAGGGCAAATTCAGTGGGAGGAAGTGAAAGAAAGCCAGTGTGGCTAGAGTACAGAGAACCAATGTCACCTGACAATGGTGGATGAGAATTTAAATGAAAATGACTCCAGAAGACCAAGTCTTTCAGCCAAGGTTGTACCGTAAGTTTATGCATTTAGTGGCCCTTCCCTGTCACCTCACAAGCTCCAAACAGCAAAATTATATAAAAATATAAACATGTAGGGTTTTTTTTTTGATATGTCTGTGTGATTTGGAAAAAAACAAAACAAAACAAGATTCAATCTCATGGATAAGATACAAAATAGAAATGCAAAGGATACTGCAGACAGAGGCGTCCAGGAGTCCTACTTCAGTGGGCTAACGAAGCTACAAATATCCCCAGGAAAAGGCTGGGACCTGAGCTAGCTTATTGCTGGAAATCAGAGAATGTGGAGGGGGATGCCCCACACCATGATGAAAGGAGGCTTTAAAAATCTGCCTATCCAGATTGATGGTGGGATGCAGACAGTCTCACAACCAGGACCTGGCCATGCTGCACGCTGACCTGGTGGTGGCTCTTATATACTCCTGGTTGATGTGGAACAGAGGCCCCAGCTGCAAATATCAGACTTGGCTCTGGGCTGGGGTCATCAGAGGTAGGAAGTAGGTCATAGAAAATCACAGGTGAGTGCAGAGAAAGGACACAGGGAAAGCAGGCTCAAGATGGCGCCCTAAACTATAATTCCAAAGTATGTGAGAAAAACTAGCATTAAGGAAGATGGCCAATAAACTTAACATCAGACTTATCTCCTCCAGATGGAATGAACAGAACAACCTAAAAATGACTTTAATCTGGAGCTTTAAAAACAAGTAGGTTTTTTGCACAGATTATCTTCATTGGTTATATTTGAACATTCCTCAAATTAAATAAATCATATAAATCTTGAAGTTTTAAATGGTGAACTTGTACTTTCCAGCAAAGTGACTGGAAACAGCATGGTCGCTACATTTAGCATCCAAGAGACCCCTGGATATGGCTGTGTTCCCAAAGAGCCATGAAGTAAGAACTTCCAAGGTCCCTGTACCTCTGTGGCATGTTCAGAAACTAAAAGACAAGTCTTGGGACAGTGTGTGATGTGGGATGGACATGGATTGCCAAGGTGGACAACACAGAGGGAAAAGCTGAGCCAGTCCTGCGACCGAACACCTTTCTTTGATAGAAGGATGGGAAAGTGGATTGAATAAGAAAATGGTTCCTGAAAATTAAACTTGGCTTTATAACTAGACTCAGGCTAAAGCTGGAATGAACTTATTAAATTCTCCATCTTCTCTGGCACAGAGGGAAAATAAGTGTTTATGTGTATAAAGCAACATTACATGCAAATTAAAGTGAGAGATCCTAAATATAAAAGATGACCAACTGACGAATGAATGGCTGAATGACCAATCCATTCTAAGTCAGAAAAAAGGTGAGGCCTCAAGCACATTTCTCTTACTCTTTATGATGTAACCTCAAAAATAAAAGCTCTGTGTAAACCAAATCAATCAATTTCAAATAACACATCAAAAAAAAGTTTCTATGGTATTCAGTCCTAGAATTTCATTCATTGCACTGCTCCAGTTGCTATGGTGCTATAAGCACTGGCTGTTTGAATGAATCATGTGTTCTCCCTTTATCCAAGGAGGACATGGCAATAGATGCTACTAAGTGCAAAGGACTGGGGGAAGATCACATACTCGGCTCTAATCCCAACCAGATTTTTGGCTTAGGGAGAGAAACACCCCTGTGGAAAGCTGACAAAGTGGGTGAGATTAGCTACCCTCATGAAACTAGAACTCCCACGGAGCCATGATACGTTAGCCAAGGAGTAACCTTAGTCATTTTTTTTTAATCCCAGAAGGAAGTGATAAAAAAATTGTTCTTCCCAACCCCTCAGGGGAGATCTTGGAGAGCTCCCCAAACGCCCCTATGGCAAAATCTAATTTGTCTAGAATTATAGATTCTAATGCCATGAAGCAGTATTGAGAGGTGGCAAACTCCCTGTCCCAGGCAACATTGGAAGCGGAAGACCCGTGGTGATGCGTCATAAATGTGTGGACTTGCCTGAGGTGGGAGGCTGCTTGACTGTTGCTTCCAATCTGGAACCAAGGACTCAGAGCCAATTTAGGCCAGTGCGTCCCATGAAGTAAAGACAATGCCAACACAGCCAGCAGACACTGAAAAGGATCCGAGACCACTTCGGTTGTAAACCCACAGCTTTTGGGCAGCCCACTCTCTTTTGACTTAACTGAAGGTGAAAGAATTATAATAATTAATGTGCATTTACTGCCATGGATCTAAAACCAGCAAATTCTGCTAACAGAGATTATTTTAGAAAGGAAATCAAGGAGCAACATATAATTAGCTGAGAGTTATTTAGGAGTTAATTATTCAGTCCATTGTTTCACTTCTTTCTTCTTCCTACTTGATTCCTTTTGACCACTTCTCTGTTGACTTGTTTCCCTAGCCCGTTAGAGAAGTAAAGCAGGTGAGACCCAAAGTTATAACGGGGCATTCTGTGGTTGGAAGCTTTCATAAAAGGTTTGCTAAAGTGAAGGAAGAGGGCGGGAGGATATTATAATTACTGGAAAAGTGATTGTTAGCTTTTTTGTTTTGGTTAGTAGGGTATAAAGGAAAGTGTGGGCTCTGGAGTCAAACAGAATGAGCTTTGGTTTCTTGTTTCTGCCACTTAATAGACTAGCTATGTGTCCTTGGGCAGATAACTCAGTTGGTCTGACTCAGCTTCCTCACGGAGAAAACAGGAATATCAATATCTGTGTTGGAGGACAGTTGCAGCGATTGAGTAAAATAATCCAAAGAGACAAATATATTTCTTCCCATCCAGTAGGCTCTCGAGCTGCATTATTAAAATTATCTAAAATTTACTCTTCTTAGATAATTAAGATATGACTAAAAGCAAATGCTCTTAAACTGAGAAGTAGGAGTTCCCAAGTAAATGTACAGATTTTAATCTGCAAACTTCTTGATTTAAATTTGCATCTTAAAATTTGCATTAAACTTTACCTGTCGACTTCCCTGCTTGGAAGAGCAACTACTTGTGCTCCTTGAAGGTGAGACCAATTTTGGGGACACCCCAAGGCTCTTCTCATCACTCATCATGAACAACAGGTCCTTGGCCTTGATGTAGTCAAAATGCCATAGAAGACAGTGGAGCACAGAGTATGGCAGTCCGACACAAGCAGGTGGCTCAGATTTTATCCAATATGTTTTAAAAGCATTTTGGATGACCCAGAGGAAATCCCTAAAACAAAAAGAAAAGAATTAGAGAGAAGGTACAAGGCATCAGATGTCATCTATAATTAGCACTGATTGCCCACAAGTGGTTTATCTACACTACAGATTACAGAGCCACGATGGTTACTCACATCAGGGGCTGTGAAGGAAAAGACGCATTATACCTATCTCTTATTGGAAATTATGTATAGGCGGTTTTTTGTGTAACTTTGCAATATAATAGGCTTAAGAACGTGAGTAAGAAAATTTGAGTCCAGACACATACAAAATCTGTACTATAAAAACCATCCCAGGGCTTCCCTGGTGGCGCAGTGGTTGAGAGTCTGCCTGCCGATGCAGGGGACACGGGTTGGTGCCCCGGTCCGGGAAGATCCCACGTGCCGCAGAGCGGCTGGGCCCGTGAGCCATGGCCGCTGAGCCTGCGCGTCCCGAGCCTGTGCTCCGCAACGGGAGAGACCACAACAGTGAGAGGCCCGCGTAGCGAAAAAAAAAACAACAAACCATCCCAAACCACGAGATACCACTTCATACCAACCCTGATAGATACAATAAAAAAACTGAAAAATAACAAGTGTTGGAAGAAACTGCAACCTTTAGGCATTGCTGCTTGGAATGCAAAATGGTGTAGCCGTCGTTGAAAACAGTTTGGCAGTTTTTAAAAAGTTAAACATAGAATTATCATATGATTCAGCAACTCCACTCCTAGGTATATACCCGAAAGAACTGAAAACAAGTATTCTAACAAAAACTTGTACAAGAATGTTCACCACAATGCTATTTATTCACAATAGTCAAAGGTAGAAACAACCCAAATGTCCATCCACTGATGCATGGATAAACTACATATGGTATATGCTATGGTCTGGATGTTTACACCTCCCCCCTAACCGCCACCTCCACCCAGATTCATATGTTGAAATCCTAATGCCCAATGAAATAGTATTAGGAGGTGGGGCCTTTGGGAGGTGTTAGGTCCTGAGGGCAGAGCCCTCATGAATGGCATTACTGCCCTTATGAAAGAGACCCCAGAGCTTCCTGGCCCCTCCCACCATGGGAGGGTACTGTGATAAGCCTGCCACCCGAAGAGGGCCCTCTGACCATGCTGGCATACTCATTTTGGACTTCTAGCCTCCAGCACTGTGAGGAATAAATTTCTGTTGCTTATAAGCCACCCAGACTGTGATATTTTGTTATAGCAGCCCAAACAGACTAAAACAGCATATTCACACAGTGGATTATTATTCACTTCTGTCATACATGCTATAACATAAATGAACGTTGAAAACATTATGCTAAATGAAAGAAGCCAGACACACAAAAAACACATAGTATATGTTTCTATTTATATGAAATATCCAGAGTGGGCAAATCCATAGAGAGAGAAGGCCAATTAGTGGTTGCCAGGGGCTGGGGGATTTGAGGAATGGAGTCTAGCTATGGGGTTTCCTTTAATGGTGATTAAAATGTTCTGGAACTAGATAATGGTGATGGTTGTACAGCATTGTGAAAGTACTAAATGTCACTGAATTGTACACTTGAAAGTGGTTAAAAAGTTAATTTTATGTTATGCATTTTACTACAATTAAAAACAAATCCTTTTCTGGTTTTTTGGGGGATAGAGGTGGGTAATTTGTTCTACCAAAGGTTTCTGGAGACATCTTATAAAAAAAAACTATAACATGATGTGACAAAAACTATGGGGGAAAGCAGAATTTTCCATACCATCTATTAGCATATTAGTAATTAAATCAATGATCATTTGTTGAGTCCATACTACTTACTGCCAAGCACTATAATATGGGTTTCCTACACACAGTGTCTCATTTAATCAAAGTCTGATGGGATGGGTATTATCTGCATTTCACAGAGGAAAAAGCCAAGTTTCTGAGAAGTTAAGTCAGTTGCCCAGTCATGCAGCTGGCAAGAGACTGAATCCAGGCTAGGCCCCAGGCCTTTAAGCTTGGTGCTGGAAATAAGCATGCCTTAATGGCCAGGTCTGGTGATAACAGCTACTGCCCCATCTTTGGGACCTAAGAGAACTCAGGAGCTGAACTAGGAAGACTCAGGAGGGAGCACATCATAAGCCAGCTTTGAAGAGGCAATGCCACATTCTCTCTACAGCACAGTACGGATCTCTAAGATGGCGAGGATCTCTGGTGGGAAAGGGGATTGACCAGGGCATTGGCAGAGACCCCTTTATGAAACTGAGTGTCTCTGCTGACTTTATGATTAACCTCTCTATCCAAAACTTTATTCCCTTTCTTGTTTTGCAGCTGTGCCTCCTCAGCAGTGAGGAGCATCAAAGTAACAAAGCAAGAGCCTATGGAGCCTTCTCAGGACAGACCCCACTCACCATGTCCTCGGCCTGCCTCTTGTTTATACCGAAAAGCTTAGTTTCCCAGGCCTCCCCTGAGTCTCAAAAGGCTGGCTCAAGAGTTAGTGATTAGGAAATGTGAAGATGTAGGAACAAAGAATAGCTGCTGTGCCAGGAAACTGGTAACAATTTAGACCATAAATCAGCAGTCATTGAACTCCCGGCTCCTCGAAAGATATAAAGGCCTGACACACATTCCTGAGTTGTTTCTACAGGAAGCAGACCCTCACCAGATGAAAACTGCTGACCTCAAGCACGGAGACCCCAGGCCAGTTGAAACTGGAAGATGGACGATGCTCAAAACTTCACCTTGATGCCAACCAATACGAGGATTCTGCACGAGCTGGTCATGCACCCTGCAGCCCTGTCACTCACACTGTCTTTAAGACCTTTGTCTCCTAACTGGCAACTTGGAGATGGTCTTAAGACATTAGTCCACCACCTTCCCAGATTGCCAGCCTCCTGAATAAAGCAACTTTTCCTTTTCCACCAACACTTATCTCTTGAGTACTGGCCTTTCGAGTAGCGAGCAGCCGAACTTGGTACCTGCCTCATCTGGTTACATTTACAAGTAGTTGGCTGGGCTGCCACCCCTGTAGCTCTTTAGGGGTGAACCACTGCCTTTACCCACAGCCCTGAGTTAAGGGTGACTAACATGTTTAGGTTTTGCCTTCAGACTTTTATTTGACACACTAAGTAAATTCTACAACTTTCCCAAGCATGTTAACAAAAAAAAAAAAAAAAAGTTTTATATCTAATTCATTTGGTTCTCAGTGTTCACATAGTCTAATTTTAAAAGAAGGATGTTATACAGCTGTCCAGGAACCAGCTAGTTAAATACTATATCAAACTTCTGGTTAATTATTAAGTACTCAAGTCTCCTATGCCTTTCACTAACACTTCTTAAATAATGAGCATGCTAAGGCCATAAACTAAAACCAAGACAATGCAGAGAAATAAAAAAATCTCAGAAAATAAAATTAAGGTACCTGTAGGCATAGAACTCAATTCCCACGTTGCTTTCATAAAACCACCTCCCCTCCACCACACACACACACAAATCTCTGTACTCATTATGTACTGAATCCAACAATAAATAAGAGTAAAAGCAAACCAACACCAGCATCTTCGTAAAGTTAGCTTTACTTATGAGGCATGACTAATTGTACCTGAAATTAGAAGCAAATGCATTCTAGTTAAAAACTGCCAAGAGAGGCTGTTAAGCTATATTCATAGTTTGTTTAATAGCAGTGTTGGCAGTTGCTGTTTAAGGAAGAGAAAAAAAGAAACATCTGATGGAAACCCCAAATGCTGAAATGTCTGTGGGGACAGCCATTGCTATGACAATCGGTTCCACAGTGAATGAGGAATACCAACCAAGGGACTCTGCTTGTGTGTGGAAGGTTTTTGTTTTGTTTTGTTTCAAGGCTGAGATTCTGACAATGAGAGCATGGGTTGAGAGGTGGTGTGTGACATGTGCAGAAGGGACAAAAAAGAGCATTTGGGCCATAAAGTAAGAGTCACCGGAATTCTGAAACTGTGTCAGAACAGAAACACCATAATCCTCCCCTAGAGGCAGTTGATTAAAAGAATGATCGTCATCTTTCAACCCTGCCAAATTTCACTTCACAAGCAACAGACAGGAAGGCCAGGGCTGTGAATAGGCTAAATCCCATACTCATTTAAATTGGTACTGTGAGTTAAGGCCTCTGAAGGTACCACCTGCTGTGACCCTCAACACTGTCTCTTCTTCTTCTGGGAAAAGAAAGGGTGAGAATCTACAGCCCTTCCCACATCCATCACCAGATGAGTTTAAGATTATGCCTAGGGAAATATATCTGTTTCATCCCCTAGAACCTTCCTGCCTAGCGCCATCAGAAATTCAGTCAAAATTACCAGGAGCAGCTTAAAGGGCAAAAGAAGTCAAATTCTAGGGAAAGGATATTCTTAAAACAGGGCAGAATAAAGAATGAAGGCAACAGTAGCCCAAGACTAAGGTACTGGAGAGGTAAGGCAGTCACGTGGAATGAGGCATCTATTGTGTCCAACCTAGGGGACCCTGCAGGCTGGCCTGGGGGCGTCACCACAGAAAAGACCTTGACGGGAGTCCTCAGAGGACCCTGACAAAGGGGAGTCACATGGAAGTCTGCTGTCATCTACTCCAATTAGCTGACTAAGTAAAATGGCAAAGACAAAGCCCTGCAGGGAGACAGACACTGGCCAGGGGCCAGGCCATGGATCCAGGGGTGTAGTAGATCATAAAGCAGGTACACATGAAAGACTCTTGGTGCTTTCACCCCTCCCAGTGACCCTTCCATGGACAACCTCTAACTCGAGAGGATTACTGCTTTGAACAAAATACAACAGTTTCCCTGCTCACAGAGCGAACAACCTAAGGACAATCATTTATTTCCTCCCTTATTTTTCAGAGGCATAACTTACATACAGTAAAGTTAACAACTCTTTTTTTTTTTTTTTGGTAACATCTTTATTGGAG